AAGTGTACTTGTTCTGCCAATGAAGAGTCACATTTGGTTTCAAAAAGTAAGAACACAAATGGTTCCTCATTTCAACGGCCTCAGTAGTTGCTCTTCTGCAGCAGGGCTGGAATATAGATTCACAACTGCCTTTGTCATGGCCACCATCATCTTCACCTAGACTCTGCTCGCTAAATAAGCCGTCCTTTAACCTGATGAAGTTATGGAGGACACAGATTACCCGTATTATATTGTCTGTTTTATTAGGTTTCACGCTATAGCCGTTCCAAGAATCAACTGGAGAAGATGTGATAAGACGCAGGCACTTGCTACTTCGGTGTGCGGACTCGAGTCTGAATCACGAATGAAGCAAGACTGCGTCTTTTGTCTCAGGTCTTGATGATTGTCTTGACGCAGGTGGTGTGCGGCCGCCCTTAGGCGTTGCGAAGACAAGCGGCGACATTGTCACAACGGTCCAAATTACCTCTCATGCGTTTTGGTTACATTTCTGGTGTCTTGTCATGGCATCGCGAGAGATATGTCGAAGCTAGGAGTTGGTATTATAGTATCGCGTCCACTGTCATGCGATGACTTGTTTGCGGTAAATTTGGCGCATCTGAGTTATCGCAAAGGTTGGCATAGAGACGCTCAGCGTGGCGAATGCTGGCGTCGATTTCACAACATTGTGACCAATGACATGCACTTAAATGTGTCATTACACCACGCAAGAAATGTGAAGCACTTGAAATAAAAGTTTCGACAAAGTTCGAACATCGACGCTAGGCGTCGCGACGCCGAGCATCACGACACCATATAATGACGCAGAAGATACCGCAGATGTATTTAGACATCACTGAAGACAAAAGTATAAAACCGACGCCCGGCGTCGCGACGCCTATCGTCGCGACCCCATGACAAGACCCAGGAATGTGACTCGACGATTTTGATAACTTTGGTTGCGACTTTAGAAAACCGACGCCTGGCGTCGCGACGCCGAACAATGCGACGCCCTACAATGGCGCCAAAGTTACCGCAGATGAATTTAAATATCATTGCTGACGACACTAGAAAACCGACGCCCAGCGTCGCGACGCCATCCGCCGTCACGCCAGATGAAGCATACCCTCTTGGTATAACGTTGGCATTGATGATAGAAAATCGACGCCGTGCGTAACGACGATCTTGAGGGACGAAATTTTACCCAAGACGCGAACCTATAAACCAACAACCTAACCTAACCTAACCCAACCCAACCTAACTTATCCCAGCCTAACCTAACCTGCCGGAACCATGTCTTATAAGTTACCAGTCTGCTGTTCGCTTCAGTTACATTTTTTGGTCAGCTTCCGTTCTCAAACATCATTTTCAAAGGCACCTCGAGGCTCACGCACGCCGAATATAACGTCTTTCGGCGTGGTCCCGATTATGAAAGTCGCCACTTACGGCATCGGTTTCGTAGCTTCCATAAGCACGCGGAGCGTCGTATGCTGTAAAATTTGCGTCCTACGAAGAGTTCATCCTACGAAGACGTCGCGTCTTCTGTTGGGCTTGCAACCAAACGTTTCGCTACGAGAGCCTCGGAGACGCTAGCTTCAATTTTCTGTCATATGGAGACTAATGTTCGGTATCTGTCGTCGTTTCCAGACGGCCCTATTTTAGGCGACATTGTGGCATCGGTCCAAATTATCTCTCATGCGTTTTGGTTAATGCGGTTGAGTCTGGATGCTCGGCGCATGACACCTGGACGCGTGGACAAATTAACTGAATTCAGAGACTGAGTAATTAATTGATCGACTGACTGGTCATGTCTGTTTTTTTGTAAGTGCATAAATAAAAGTGGTTTAAATCATTTCTTGTCAAATTTCACGAAAAAGAAAAAAAGAGCTCTGTAGGTTAGGGGCTGTGGGGGTAGGATTTGTTATATGACGCCCATTTGTGTAATCGAGGCTGTGAAAACCGAGTCATGACAGTATAATACTTTTAAGTACTCTGAGATTTCACTGCAATGCAGATTACTTCCTGCTCTTTGGTTTCCGTTGGTTGAGTTTAACGTTCTCGTCACTGAATACTTACCCTGAAGATGGAAACTACAGTCTTGATCGAAATGTTGTTACAGCTTCAGCGCGCGACTCGGTTCAACGTCGAAAGCCGACGTTACCTAAGGTAGCTGAAGGTACAAGCGTCTGATAGAGGTCTGAGGCTTGGTCAACTAAGGTTTGAAGCAGACAGCGTATATGTCGTCTCCCACATTTTACCTGATGACGGAGGCAGTATGACCTCTGAAACGTTGGTTAACATCGACCAGACTACACAGCGCAACAACCCAGAAGACAGCAATCTTCATACTCACCGCTGTGAAAACCTCAAATCTTACATAATTAACAGATCATGAAATTTGGTTCGCTTATCTCAGAACAAAAGACTGGATTATATAACATGAATATCATTAGGAGTAGATCTTAAGTATTTTAGATTGAAATATATTTATGGAGCAGAATTAGAAGCCTGTAGCGCAATCAATTAGTCAATAAATTTCCCACATTTTACGTAACCTTAATGTTCATTACTGTGTTCACAAGGGCCCGTCGCCCTGAGCCATGCTCCCATCAAGGGACGGCCATGAAGATAATGATCTAAGTTTCTTTGTTCCTATGCATAAACACCATGACAAGTGTGTATGAAAAGATGAATCAGAACACACACATTCGTAACTAAATACTCGTTACGAAGGGAAAGTTCATTGTCATATACGTCGGTTCTGCAGTCGCCGAGAAATGATTTTGCTCGGGTCCTATACTAGTTCTGAAGTTATATTTCGTTCTGTAAAACCAGTATACAAAAGTATGGTATACTAATTTACCCTACATTGTTCTTTCCTAGAAATACACATACTACGTTTTCCATTTTCGTGTGTAGAACAATTCAAACAGGGGAAGGATAATTAATTTTGTTAAGTTACCCACTCCTGCATGCGAACTGTGACGTTTATGAATCTACCAATGAGTATGAAACAAGTAATTCCATAACTGTGAATTGTCATTTGTTTTCAATATGGAAGCTGTTACAATTAGGCAGGTGTTATGACAGGTATACAAATTCTTTGACTTACTGACAAGATGAGTGCAGGTTGGTGTATTGAACGGGGAAGAGCCGCGAAAAGCTTAATATTTAATGTTCTGTGTTACACATGGGCTTCTAAAGACGAAATGAACAGATTTACACTGTCTGCCATATTCCTGTCTGGTGTAGTATTTGCAGTATCATTTACATTTCTGTCGGAGTATTTCAAGGCACAGTGCTGTGATGTGAAACAGTATTCAATTCCAAGGCCCCAACAGAAAGCATTTTCACCTTTGCCAGATGACAGCCAGCTTCATGTTCCAGATGAAGGAACGTTGGGTTTGGTATTGCGCAAGACTGACATTTCGGAAAAACCGAAGAAGAATTCAGGTAAGGTGTATTACTTAAAATAAAATAATTATCGTGTCCCAGTTTGTCTGTTCAACACAGTATTTCTATCATTTAACATCGACTTCCCTGAGCAAAACTAGTTCTAGGTTATCTTAACCTCAATTTTTGTTATACGTTGCCATAACCTCAGCTTGATCATTGAATAAATGTGGAATGTCGTAGATGAGTGAGTGAAATCTGAATGACTGACACTGAATTAATGGGTATTATAGTTCTAAATTAGTACATCATGTACTAAATGAGGAATAAATTGAAGAAATTAAAATTTCACTTCCAGAACAAAATGGAACAGACTGTGTGTTCAGGATTCAATCATAATGTTATGGTTATTCTTAATGCTTTATATTCATCAGTTCGAATCTTGTATAGGAGACATGCAGTCCTGTTTGACGATGTTCCCAAGTCACCGTACTAAGCTTGCCATTGGTCTCTCTTAATCAGAACAGTTAACATAGTGTCATTACATAAACCAAGAAATTAAATAGCTTTGTGATACTGTGATTATGTATGTCTGTTTCCAGAATTTGAGGTTTTCATACAATTAGATCAAAAGTAAATTTGGGTTTTATTCTAGTTACAAATTTTCAACATAAATAATGCAACAGGTCAGTGTGTTGTGAAGACACACCTAAGAAATGAAACATCACATTCACTGCAGAAAGTAAGAAATTAATGTGCCACATATGGACTGAGGAACAAGATTTTCTTTAATATGGGGCAGGAACTTGGGCTTCTTTACTTTTTGATTATGTGTTTAATATTAATGTTTGTTCATTTACCAGTTTCAGAATCTGAGGCTTTGAGTTCGTTGTATGCAGCTCTGGAGATGGAGAAGGCTGGGAAGCATGACAAGGCATTGAAACTTTTCCAGCATGCTGTAGCTCTCGCTCCTAGACACCCTGACATTCTCAACCATTATGGAGAATTCCTCGAAGAAAGACAAAATGATGTCATTACGGCAGACCAGCTGTACTTTCAAGCCTTGACGTACTCTCCTGATCATTTGGGTGCCCTCAGTAACCGTGGGAGGACAGCACAAATTGTTGAAGAGATGGACAGGAGTAACCTGCACAGGATTGATGATAAACGGGACACACTGTCAAATATTCCAGACTCCAGTTCATCTTTTCGTCGAGCCAAGAAAGAGGCATATTTTCAGGTAATAATAATAATAATAATAATAATAATACATCATTCGAAAGACGCTGTCGTAAAATAAAATTATATAATACATGTAATAGATATTAAAAACAAAATGTATCCCGGAAATAGCTGCTGCCCTATGTACCTTAGGGACAAGGTCTGTCTCGGGTACATTGGAGTACATACCCCATAAAGTGGTGAATAGATGGGATAATAATAATAATAATCCTTGGTGTAACAGCCCTCTGAGAGCCAAAGCCGACTAGCGTGACTGCTGGCCTCACGTCCACATGCCTAATCAGAGGTGAACGATCATCCAACCAGATATAGGGTGACGTGTGGTCAGCACGACGAACCCCCAACTATTGCTAGTTTTCATGACTGGATTACGCTACCCATTGTAGCTCCCCAATTTCTTCACGATGCTGGGTTGGTAAAGGTCCCATACACCGGTCGAAAATCTCATGAGAAATTTCTTACCCCGAGATGCGAACCAGCGTATCACCGGTCCGAAGCATGATGCCTCAGACCGAGCGGCTATGGCGCGGGTACAGTCATGTATATATTTTATTTTATAACTTTATTGTTCTGTTTGCACAAAGGGAATCTGATCAATGCATAAAGGTGAAAACTACTTGAAAGTCTTCATAATTTGTGTCTGAAATCAGAGACCTGAAAATAATTCAGCATTTGCAAGTGTGCGGTTACAGATATCAAGTGAATTAGATTTGTTCGTGTCAGTTCTGTACACCCGTTACATTATATTAACTTAAAATGGAATGACATTAGTTACGAAAACCAGTAAGAATTATTTTGGATATTGATTGTAATTTGTGTCCTTCCAGCACATCTACCATACTGTCGGCATCGAGGGAAACACGATGACGCTGTCTCAGACACGCTCCATCGTGGAGACACAGATGGCTGTTGCAGGCAAGAGCATCATGGAGCATAATGAGATTCTGGGTTTGGATGCTGCCATGAAGTATATAAATGCTACTCTTGTGAACAGGTAATCTGTTACCAGCTGACAAGTTAAATTGACAAGTCTGCTCATATAAATGTTACTAGTGTTTGTGGGATAAGATTTATAGTGAGAAAAATAAAGTAAATTGAGTTGACGCTTCTGTTATGTATTCCTTGCACAAAAATCATACAGTGAGTGCATAATGCAGATGTTGTCTCTGCTTGTTTTACCTTCAGAACTATTTAATTGACTTAGATTGAACTTAGTATTGTTTGTGTACACTGCAAGGTTTTCATCATCGCGTGTCTGTCCGCAGACAGGTATCAGCGGAACTGCACCTTCCAAGCATTTCTATCCTCTCTTCAGATCTGTCAACATTACAAATCTCCTTCCTCTTCCTCTCGTCCCATCGATCATTCCCTCTGTAATTGTTTTCTGTAGGCAGTTCCTTCTCAATATGTGGCCTATCCAGCTAGCTTTCCTCTTTCTTATTGTCTTCAATATATTTCTTTCTTCTTTAACCCTCCTCAGTATCTCTTCGTTCCTGATCTTATCTGTCCATTTTATCCTCTTCATTCTTCGCCACAGCCACATCTCGAAGCTCTCCAAATACTCCTATTCCTTCTTTCTTAACATCCATGTTTCCGCACCATATAAAACAACACTCCATACGAAGCATTTTGCAAATCTTTTCCTTAGTCTTATTCCTCGCCGTTAGAATTTCCTCCACTTTTCCATATGCAGCTTTTCCCTGTGCTATCCTGCTCTTTATCTCTTCTGTACAATTTTCATTCAGTGTTATGGCACTTCCCAGGTATTTTTTTAGATGAGTTTAATTTTTAATTAGGATTTGAGGTTTTCATGGTGTCTTGGCTGTCTTCTGGGTTGTTGTGCCATGTAGTCTAGTGGAAGTTTATCAAATGTCAGTACTCTGCAACTGTTATGCCTTGCTTAATACATTTGATATCTGAACAAGATGTCCCCTGTTGCAGGTTAGGGGCTGTTTCTGTAAAAGACATCTTGGAGATCCACAAGCGAGTGATGGGTTTTGTAGACCCACTGGAGAGCGGAATGTTCCGCCGCACCCAGGTTTATGTCGGTGGGCATATTCCACCTGCCCCACTTGAAATCACAGTCCTTATGGAAGAGTTTGAGAAGTGGCTGAATTCTGAGCGAGTCATGCATCTACATCCAATCAGATATGCAGCCTTGGCACATTACAAGCTTGTGCACATCCATCCTTTCACAGATGGGAATGGACGCACCGCCCGGTTGCTAATGAACACCATACTGATGCAGGCTGGTTTCCCACCTGTTATCATTCTCAAACAGGACAGATTGAAGTATTATGAGTACCTAGAGATTGCGAATGAGGGAGACGTTCGTCCTTTCGTACGGTTTATTGCAGAGTGCACAGAGCGAACGCTTGATCTGTTTCTGTGGGCTACTAAAGAATATATGACAGAGTTTCCAGCATTAGAACAGAAGGAATGGGACAGACGGACTATAATATTAGATGATGGGAGTGGAAACTGGGACGATGAATGAAGGAGAGAACAGCATGAGATTATACTAATGTACAAACCTGTACTTAACAGGGCGTTCATGTTTACTTAGTCTGAGTCTAGTCCGAGGTATGGTGATACGGAAGAAATGCAGTGAAGTTCCTATGGAAGGCCTGAGGTTCTAGTTTCAGTATGGAAGGACTGGTCTGAAAGTAAGAAACTTAAGAGTTTAGTTAGAATTTCTTGCAGTGAATCATGATTGGGTATAATAACAAGATTTTATATTGAACCAAATGTTTGTCCACAACTATTTGCATCTCCTGCCCCCACTGTATCATACCATGAGGTGCATGATTGTCAATGAACTGTGACATCTCTTACGTTTTTGTAGGGTACTTGCTCCTTTGCGTTAGATTTTCAGGTCCCTGGTTTTCCATGCACATTGACTTATGTTTCTATTATTAGTAATGTAGAATATTATAGAGTCTGAATTTTGCAGGTTATGTACGCTACTTATCTGTGGAAATACTAAATTTTGTTTGTTCCTTCCTTTAAAATCAGTGCATAAAATCTTTTTTAAAAGATAAGTTTGGCAGTCCACATGTCACAGAACAGTGTATCAGTAAATTATGTACAAATGTGACTTTTTATTAATATCATGTTACTGTGTGATTACAAAACCTGTGTGTTTAAATTGTGCTTTTTATGTATTTAATTATAGAGAAATCACACTAAATATCACTACGTATGTCAGTGCTTTTGAACAAATTAAAAGTTCATTCTTTCTCATAATAGACTCATATTTAATATTGATCATATGCTAAATTGCCAGGTCTAATTGGAATTTTTACGTGAGGGTCAAATATCCTGCATGGCCCATACTTAAATTGTCATAGACCTGGAACAAGTCAAACTCCTGGAGTAATCTTTGTCCTCTCACTATGATTGCAAGTCAAGCTCAATAATAGGACACTGTGGATTAGTTCATAAACCCACTTCTGATTGAATGTAAGTATTAAGAAATGTGTGTGCTCCATTATGTTTTAATCTGGTCAGGGTAAGTAAGAATCGTTGCTGGTGCTTTGTTTCACTTGTCTCAGATTGGCTGCAAGAAGCAGTCATGTAATGGTGTCTGCAAACTACCAGTGCGGCTGTTTTCGTCCTTGACACCTCCAATTAATGCCCTGAGTTTTCAGTGGTTGAATGTTATGGTCAGGTAGTCATTTCTGAAATGTCTGTATTTTTTTAAATTTATGTCTCAATCTCCTATCAGTATTACGAATGTTTTCAGTGTCTGTTGTAGACTTGCTCTCATATTGACAGGAAATAATTATGTGGTGCATGAATACATTTGTGTTCTTTAGGCACTCTTGGATCTGTATGAAATTTGCATACAGTGTTTATATCTGTATGGGGTCCGCAGTGGCCGTGCGGTCTGAGGCGTGGGCCTTGTGCCTCTCGGTCGCTGGGACTGTGGGTTCGAATCCCACTGAAGCCATGGATGTTTGTCCACGTTTTTCTGTGTTGTGCTGTCCTGTGGGCTGGTAGAGGCCTTGCGACGGGCCGATCCCTCGTCCAAGGAGTCCTACCAAATGTCGATAGATCAAGCCAACGAAAATTTGGGACCCGCAGCGCTCAGGCACTTGAAGAATGGGTCGTTCCCAGTATCCCAGTTTATATTTGTGGTTTGTGAAAGATGCCTGTGGTGCTTAATTAAGCAGCATGCCATGAAGATGTATGAGGAGTGGAGGTTTAACACCACACATTCTTAATCTTGGCTCAGATTAGTGGTGAATTCATGCCCTTTTTATGTATATGAACATATATAAATAGGTCGTGGCTAATTTTCTATAGGACTGGACTTCCAAGTCTAAAATTGGAAGCCAATGAAACAAGAAATAAGTTTGGAAATATATTGTTTTTAATTAATTGTTTTAAATCAGAATTTTTTTTTGCCGAATTTTCATGCTGTGACAGAATGTACCTGTGAATATTCATGTCTTTGACTTCAGTATTATATATATATATATCATTTCCAGTATGTAATACATGTGTTTGGAGCTTTGTGTTCATGATAACACACATTCAGCTGTGTCTTTGGAGTGGATCTATTAAGCCATCAACTTTTCAATTGTTTATACGTAAATATGCACACACTTTAGAACACAACTCTACAAAGTACTGCCCACCACAGTGAAAATTGTAGGTGCAATGGTTACTTAGTAGCCAGAATATCTTTTAACATTGCCTACAAGCAAATTATATTAAGTAGTTTCCTCAGTTGCACCTTGTCCATGGAATTGACTGTTCTAAAGTTATTTTATTCACCACATGTTACAAATATTGAAATTTTAAGTATCTTGAATATCTAATTGTGGCTTCCCTCCTTGTTGTATGCCTTATATTCATAGCTGTATAAATTAATTAGTTTAAGGTTCTCACAGCAACAAATATGCATACAGCTGTTTTCTGGTGTGTAGCGCTATGCAGTCAGGTAGATATTTACTGTTGTTTCAGAGGTTTTAGCTGCCAGTGTTCTACCAGACTGCATGGTGCTACACACCAGAAAACAGCCTTATGCATAGCTGCTACTTCTTTATTCATGTTAATGTAATAAAGATGTGAAGTATTTATTTTGTAATATATTAAGTGTTGTAGAAACTGTGTAACTGATCAGTGATCAAATCCTGATATAATTAATGGAGTCTTCGTTCTTGGCATTAAGATGACTCAAAGCCAAGAACCAAGATTCATAACAGAATATTGTTTGTCTTTTGTTGGTTTGTTGAATTTTTGCTCAGTTATGTGTGTGTGAGGTTAGGTTGACCATTCAATGCATATGACAGTTTTTGTTTGTCATAGAAGTACATGCCTATTGCAGCCTCTGCTTCATGGAATTTAAATGTGACTAATATTTATGTGTGCAGGTGATGTCCATAAATAGAAACTGCATTCAACTTTGTTAGGTGCATTCACATTGTAGTGGAGCACCTGCTAGAATTAAACTGACCATCAATCTGTAGACACAAAACTCAAGAACAACCACATGGATTTTTGTGGACTTTGAAGATACATTCCAGTTTAGTTCAAGGTCAGAGATCATTAATTATAAATTACATAAATGCCTGCATGTGTTTTTTCTGTGTGTGTGGAGAATCCCTAGCTGGGAAATTATCAGCCATTCACAGAGTTCAGATTTCAGTAAATGCGCCAGATTTGTGTTGTGTGTACATTTCCTACCTTTTTTTAATCTGAAGCCGTTGGATTGTTGCACTTTTAGGCAATTTGCAGCATTTTTTGATTTTTCGAAAATTTTGAAAAATTTAAAAATATTTTCAAAATTTTCCCCACATTCGGTCTCTGCCTGACTTGGTCTACACCTGAATACGTCTTTGCCTCACTAGGTCTCTGCTGGACTCAGTCTCTGGCTCACCCCGACTCGGTCTGTGCCTCCCCCGGTCTGTGCTCGGCATGGTGTCTGCCTAACCCGGGCTCTATACGACTCGGTCTCTGCCTAACCATGTCTTTGCAGAGACGGCCCGTCAGAGATCGGGTCGTGCAGAGACAATGTGATTCAGAGTCAAGGTGCGACATAGACTGGTTCCGGAAGAGATCAGTTCTGCCAGGGGTTGGGTGGGTATAATATTGAAAAAAAATTAAGGTTTTTAAAAATTTCTAAAAAATGCTAGAAATTGTCCAGAATACTCACCAAAACTAAAATAAATTTCTCAAAGGGGTACCCC